GGTGCCAGCAATGCCCCTCAGCTTCCCCTGCAGCCCCTCTGGAGCTCCCTCACAGCTTTAACACCCTGGTGCCAGCAATGCCCCTCAGCTTCCCCCGCAGCCCCTCTGGAGCTCCCTCCAGCTTTAACACCCTGGTGCCAGCAATGCCCCTCGGCTCGCCCCTCCCGGCCCCCCTGCCCGCCCTGCCGCACCGAGCCCCCCGCAGGCTGCCCGCGTCCCGCTCCAGCGCATCCAGCAGCAGGAAGGTGTCCTCGGCCGGCTCGTAGACGTCCCGAAAGGGCCCCCGCGGGCCCAGGGGCCCGCACCGCGGGGTGGGCAGCGCCATCCCGGCCCGCATCCGGGGGAAGGGGAGGGACAAGGGCAGGAACGGGGCGGGACGAGCCCGCGCTCCGGCGGCGTCTCTGGGTGTCTCGGGTGTCTCGGCGCGGAGCTGCAGCGCCTGGTGGCCTCGATCCGACATTTAGCCCCTCGTTGTGTTTAGTGTGCGATCCCCGCCGCCGGTGCCCCTGAGGGCGGAGGGAGAGGGGCGGTACTGCTCCTGCTCCCGATTTCGGTGCCGGCTTCACAAATTGTGTTCCCGTCACGGAAACGACCACAGGGAGTCAGCACAAACCCGAAGGAAAGAGCTGCTGAGGAAGCTTTTGAAACCCTGACATTGATATACAAAAAAGCTCTGTTCTCTATTAATTAAAGGACTATATTTCTGTGATTGTTGGCCAGCAAGACTAGACAGCATCCTTATGGACCAAGGATCTGAACTTCAGCGCCACAGAAACACAGATTGGTTGGGCTTGGGCGGGACCTTAAAGCTTATCTCATTCCATCCCTGCCATGCCAGGGACACCTTCCACTATCCCAGGCTGCTCCAAGCCCCATCCAGCCTGGCCTGGGACACTGCCAGGGATCCAGGGGCAGCCACAGCTGCTCTGGGTACACTGTGCCAGGGCCTGCCCACCCTCACTCAGTAAAATAATTTCTTCCTTATATTCACTCTAAAGCTATTCTCTATCAATTTGAAACAATTCCTCATTGTGTTATCCCTCTGACCCCTTGTAAATAGTCTCTCTCCATCTTCCTTGCAGGCTCCCTTCAAATACTGGAAGGCTGCAATTAGATTATTCTGAAGCCTTTTCTTTTCCTGGCTGAACAATCCAAATTCACTCAGCCTTTCCTCCCAGCAGAGCTGCTCCATCCCGCTGACCATCCTGGTGCCTCCTCTGGGCTCTCTCCAACAGCTCCAGGCCCTTCCCATGCTGGGACCCCAGAGCTGGAGGCAGTAGTCTAAGAGAAATGAGGCTCTGCAAAATTAACAATTAAGGGAAAATTTCAGGCCACAGTTCGAGTTAATAATTTTCTCTACTCAGCAAAACCCTCAGACATTCTGATCAAAAGCAGAAGAAACAGCTGAACAGATTCTAATTCCCATTAAATGTCTGTGTTGGATTATTAATGCCCTGAACACTCAAATTCTGAGTGACTGTCTTGGTCAATGAAGGAAAAAGGTGATGTTAACAAAGTCTGTACAATCAGATTTCCAGAGATTAATATTTACAGATCCAAAGATGAGGCTTTGACTCAAGGATTGATTTTATCTTGACATGGAAATGAAACCACCAAGCTTTATCTTAAAATAGGCTTATTGCTCCACTATCTTAAAAATGCAATTATAGAAATTCAAAAGTTCAGAAAATGTCAGTTTCCAAAGTAAATTTATTCAGGCACCTGATCTTGTACTAATATTACCTTTTAATGTAAGATGTTACTTTCTCTTCAGGAGACAATGCCAGCTTTTTTTGGCTCCAAAAGAAATCTGGTAGATGGTCCTTCATTTCATCTGTCTTCCCAAAGTTTTGCTGCTGTGCCAGAGAAACAAGTACTTGTAAAACATATTAGGCTTCCATAAAATTCCATTCCTCTGGCCAAATGAAGTCATGTTAAGAGGCAGAATTTTGCACTGTGCCCATATTAGGAAAATTAATTCTTTGGATATATTTTTTTAATCTCTCCAGGTGGTCAAGCTTTGGAGTGCAGTACGAGAAATGACTTCACCTCCTTCAGCTGTACTACTTATTATTTTTGGCTGTTTCATACTTCATGAAATCTGGTTAATTCTTATTGGGGGCTTTTTAAAATACTTCTAAGTCCTTGTGGGTGCATTTTATAAAACATTTATTTTTACTGCTTATATAACTACCTACCTAAAATGTTTTTCTTGGTAGACAACTGTACTGTTTTTGCCAAAACAGATTCTATTTCAATTTTGGGAAATTGTTGGAAAGCTGATATTCCCATTTTTCAGTGGTACCTGTGCCATGTTATTAAACTGGGCTTTATGGAGATGAAAAATTGACCTTGACAGGAATCATAACCATTTGTTTACACTAAGCTGTATGGCTTCATCCCATCTGGAATTCAGTGCCATGCCTCTCATGCAGAATCCTTAACCCATTATTTCCTATCAGCCCTCAAAGGCTTCCTCTGTAAAATTCACAAACATTTCACAGAAGCATCTCCTGGAAGAGCCCCAGGCCCGTGCTGGACCTGGGAATTCTCCTGTTTGTTGCATTGAGGAAGTAGAACCACCAGGATAACTGCAAAGAGAGAACTGCTAAGAGAAGGCTGGAAGAAACCTCATAATTTCTTTCTTCAGCTGAACAAGTATCTTCCTAAAAGTAGATCATTTTTTTCATCAGAATTTCTAATTAAAAGATAACACTTTAGTGCTCTAATAATTAGAAACCTTGTGGATCCTAGCATAAATACAGAGGGGGTAAGTTTTACACTCAGTCTTCTGGCAAGTATGTAAACTTAAGCGATTCTTTTCACAGGTTTTCTTGGTGGATTTGCAGGCAAAGAGAAGTTCTCATCAGCCCTTGTTCTGCTTGACTAAATAAAACATGCTCTTAAAATGTTCCTGTCACAAGACATTATTTTCATTTCTCTTACCACATTTCTAGACTTTCTGCATATGGATTCAAGTCTGACTTCACCCTGAATGAAACTGGCACAAATATTACAGTTAATATCTTTTGGATGCTTTGAATCATTTACAAGCTTCATTATCTCTTGTAGAACTTTTGTGGTTCATGCCAGGCTCATGGTTGCACTTGCTTTGCAGAAATGTATTTTGCCCTTTTGTGATCAGCTGGCCTTCCTAAGTTTTCCTCAGTAATTTACAAATGACTGACTGTAAAGCGAGAATTCTGTAGCATTTTATTGGTTTAAATAGTTCCCTTTTTGCATGCCTATTGCTCACAGTCTGATAATTTCATTTTCAATTGATGTCTCCTGATTTCTTGTTGTCATAGTGATGCCAAGGATCCTGATAAAAACACTAAGCACAATCAGCCCCAGGACTGAAATTTCAGGAGTCACCAGCAGTGACTGAATCTGTCACTATTCCTTTTCAGTATAGTACATGACTAATTTATATTGAATTTCTTGATCACTTCATGCTCCTGCTGCCAATTCCAGCTTAGTTCATTCTTTTCCACATAATATCACATCTTAAGCTGCATGGGAGCCTAAGCAGATTCATTTTTGGTGTTTAAAAATTGAGACAGGCTCTGCAGTAGAGTAGCAAGGTGTCCAGCCTCTGCTCCATGGCCAAAATCATCACTCAGCTGTTACTCCTAATTGTTATCCCAGGTCAGTGGTACAGAGGTCCTGCTGTTTTCCTTCTTGTCCTCTTGCACACACGTCCTAACTTTTTTGCTGTAGTATTTAATATCTTCAATGGAAATATAGAATCATTAAATGGTTTGTGTTAGAAGGAAATTTAAAGATCACCGCAATCCAGCACCCTTCCATGGGCAGGAACATCTTCCATGAGAGCAGGTTACTCCAATATCTGTCCAACCTGGCCCTGAATGCTTCAATTTTTAATTCTTATTTTACATTATTTATTTTAGTTTTTAAGACATAGCTTTAGTAGTGATCAATCTTTTACCCTCTTTCTTTTTGACACTATCTCATGATTTAGGTGGTTGTTTAACCAATGATCTTTGAAGACTATTGCTGCTCTCACTCATTCCATCTCTTAGCTCAATCAAATGTTTTCATCTCATTCTGACCTTGGCATCCCTCAAATGACATGCTCATCACTTAACCAAGGCCAAAATAGCATAATCTTTTTACTGCTTTCCTGGCTATTATGTAAAGAACTACTGCTGCTGTGAAAACCACTTGGATGTTACTCATTTCTAGTCTCTGGATAATTCATTCTTTTTCCAAGTGTCACAATTCCCCAGGGACCCTTTCTAATCATACCTGAGTTCCCCAACCTACCAAACAACAAACATTGGGGTTTATCCTCCAGTAAAACTCCCCAATCTCCACAGGTACTGTCAGATGAGTCAAATCTGTCCTTACACACAGTTCTGTTGTATTTCTAAGGTGAACAGCTCAAATCTCTTATAATTTCCCTGCTTCCCTGCTGACTGATGAAAATCCTTGCCCTTCCATCATTCTGCAGTACATCATGGCACAGCTGTGGGATTTTTAGACCTGTTAAGGAATGGTCCAGGGATGACATATTAGAGAGCAGGAATGCTGGATGCTTGTTTACAGCCCTTCCTGAAAAGATCCTGGACTTCATGTTAAGCTTTGAAAACCAATTGCAAGCTCTTGAAGGAATTATTACATCACTCCAACACTGAAATGCAGCTGCCTCAGGGGAAAGGCAGGGAATTTTTAACAGCGCATAGAACTATTTCAGCACTTCAGGAGAGAAAGTGAATAATGCCATAATCAACTGAGCAGAAAGGGAATGTTTAGTAAGTAGTCATATATAGTTATTTTAACTGGATTTAGGCCAGAAACCTGGGAAAAGCCTGCAGCTAATGGCAAAAATGAAATTGGGGTTTTTAAGTCACCAATGACCAAATCCTTTGGCTTTCATTTGCATTTTAAGCTGCAGCACCTAAAGCAGCAGAGTTTCTTTCATAACTGGTTACCAACATTTCCTCCTTCAGTGAGCAGGAATGATGTTTGATTTCAACTCACAAGAAATTAGGTCCTATACAGGCCTGTACAGAGAAGCAGCAACCCCACAGTCACTTGGTTATTCCAATCAGTCAGTGCTAGAGAAAACAATAATTAACACCAATTTTGTCTCATCATAGGCCTCTGAGTGTGTTTAAATGCAGCACACTAGGTCTTTGTCTATTTTAATTTACTATTTATCAGCTTCATCAGAGCTGTAACCACTCTAGTGTTCATAAAGGTAAAATAGAAAACCTAGCAAACACAGTTATAATTGTCCTTCTACATTTCAGGATAAATTTATTGTCATCCATCAGAAAATAAAGCAGCATCATGGAAAATCATGGAAAATCT